GCTTCCACCGCTGCTGTGTCCTTGATATGTTCTTGTAGAAGTTGCCGAACTGCCGTCCTTATCCGCCGTCGCCCTGGCTGATCCAACGATACTCTCTCGTGTACTTTGTCTCGACAGACGATGCGGTCCAACCATACCTGTGGCGGCAGTTGACTGGCGAGGAAGCCTGCTCTTGTTCACCGTCATCTCCGTCACAACGCTCGCTGTGTTGGCTCGGGTGAGGCTGGGCATGACAAATGCCGGAGAGTTCTCGCGCACATACGTCGACCCGTCTCGACTGGCTGGTCGCATCACGTTTGTGCCATTGACGTAGACACCATTGCGCTGCCGACGCGGTGTCTGTGCGACCGGAGGTTCGTACATGTTCATACTCGCGCGCTCGGATCGCCCCAACTGAGGTGAAGTTGGCATGCTCATCTGCCGGTCCAGGAGATGGGGTGGCGTCGTGGAGCTGGTGCGTCGTTGGAAGCCTGGGTGCTTTCTTCGAGCGCCGTTTGTGGCTGAGCTGCCACCCTGCCCACTTTTGATGCTCACATTGTCTGTCTCCTCGCAGGATCGAATGAGCTCGCTGGCCATGCTGCGGACAAGCACCGCAGAATCGGAATACGAAAGTTCTCGGACCACATCGTACAGACCGTACTGGTCCAGGAGGTAACAACCTTCTTCTGTCGAGTCGCAGATGCTGCCAATGATACGAAGCAGGTTGAGACGGATGGCGGGTTTATTATGACCCAGCTTTTGGCCCAAGATGTCGAAAACTTGAGAGCTTCTCGCCATCGATGCTGCCAGAGGTGGCGAGAGTCGCAGCAGCTTCTGCAGAGGCTCTAGAAGGTTTTCAAATGAGGTCGACTTACTGCTAGTCAACGCTGCCACGATCGCAGAAATAAAATTCTGATTCTCCAACAAGTGATCTTCGACTCGGGCCGTCTCTTCTTGAAGCCAGGTGAAGATTGCATCCAAAGCCGTCACTTGCCAGTAGGGGTCTGACAACAACGAGACATAGAAAGCAAGGCCCTTGTTCTGCCAAAGCTCACGGCGAGCAGCCCTGGTGGAATGAGCCATGTCACAAAGAATGGGCAGTGCAAACTCTTTGACCGGAGTCTTTTCTTGCTTGACGATTTTGATGAGAATCGGAATGATGCCCACGAGCGCGGCATCTTCTTGACGTCTTTTCGACAGACGGCAAAGGTTGTATATGGTGTTCAGTATCTGATTGGACATCTCCCTAAAATGCGGCTTGCTCATGCTATTGCTGAGGAGTTCAGATAGAACATCAATAGCATTCGAATTGTGAAGCGCATCCAACGTGGTCGACAACATGGACAAGTTCTTAATAAATTTCAGCATCGTGACTTGGTGGGCTGGTGCCATTCTCTTGAGATTCTTCAAAACCCGGTGCAGAACGGTCCGTTCAGCCACCAGCTCCTTGACATAGTTCTCTGCCTGGGAAAAGACGAAGAAAATGCTGGCGATCCGGCCTTCGCACAAGTCCGCCAGCTCTTTCTGCTCGCCAGAGTCTGATGGCTCCATCAGAACCCGGTTCAGGACGAGCGACAACGGCTCCAAAACCGAATTCCGAGACAAGATTCGGCAGAAATCGTTCTTGGGGGTCGATCCTTGTAGTTCAAACACACTCCAGATGCCATTGACTCCAATCAGCACCAACTCTCGATCATCGTCATAGTCGTCTTCAAGAAAGTCTACCAGGACCGTCAAACCCCCAGCGCTGACAAACATCTGGAGAATGAGGGTCGACGTTTGATACATTTGTCGGACGAAAGCTGCAGCTTCAAGGCGAATCTCTCGAGGAAATTTCTTCGAAGCGAACTTGTTGATCTTCGGTATTCCCCCGACAAAACATAGATTCTCCTGGACCTCTTCATCGTTGAAAATGATGGCGTTGACAATCTTGAGAAGATTGAGGACAATGTCTAGACGCATGCAATCTTCTAAAATCTCCAAAATCGGGAGCAGGCCATGCGCACTGATAATGACGTTCTTTGTATCCGAGAAGAGGTCGAAGAAATTCATCAAGTCCTCGGAAATCTGTAACAGTGCATCGTCGTCCTGCAGGACTTTCAACTGGCCCACGAGAACCTCCACGTCTGTCCGCAGTCGCGCGTGCTTGTCGCGGGCAATATTTGACTCCAGGTCAACTTCTGGGAGGCCCTCCTCGAGTTGTGCAAAAGGGTCATCCTCATCCTCGGCATCCGGAAGCCATGATAGATTGGAGATCTTCGAGTTTAACATTAGCTCCGAGCCATCTTCGCTCTCGGCTCTCTCAAAGACTGCAGTTGTCTGCGCAAAGACATCTGAAAAGTCCTCGTCCTGCTCGCTCTCCGCGAAACGTTGAATCTCGATCGAAGATCGCGTCCTCCGCATAGACAGTTTGTTTCTAGGAGCCGGATTCCTCTTGAGACTACCGCCTGTCTTGGGTGGTCTCATACTCTGAATTAGATCGGTAACACTGGGCGAACCTAGAATTTTGGAAGGCGGGTCACCCTGTAACCGCATCAGTCCAAGTTTGGTGTCCAAAGTGAGTTCGTTCCCTTGGACGATATCGGAGAAATCCTCGACAGAACTCTCCCGGTACCGTCGTGTTGGAGGTTCGTCTTGTTGTACTTTCGGGTGCGGTGGTTTACTTTTGGAAAGGTTCGTTGTCTGACGAGCGGATGGCAATGAAGCTTTGCGAGGCATCGGCGTGGGCTTTGCCTTTGGTTTGAGAGGCACCTCAGACTTGTGTCTCGCGTGACGAACCTCTGGTCTCTTCGTTGGCGCAGTAGTGGCAAGGCGGACTGTTTTATTCACGTCCACATCGGCCAGCGAAGCGGCTTTGAGTGTCGAGTCCTTGTCTTCCATTGCCTCATTTTCTTTTCCCAGTGCACTCTCCATTGAAGCGAAAGCTTTCAATCTATCAGAAGACAGCATGCCCCCAAAGTTGTCGTGAGGTCTCAGATGCGGCAATTGGAAAGTGCTTGGTGAAATAGCCGTTGCGAAATCATCGTCCCAATTGTCCTCGTCCTCAAGTGAACGAAATCTAGTGGTGTTATCCTTATTGAGGAGTGGGATGGGAGATTTGGTATGAGATTTGGTTGGACGAAGCATGTCCTTTGCCACAGGTATTGGGCTGGCGGTCGAAGCATTCGAGTTCTTCCTTATTGAACTGCCATTTGGAGAATCCTTAAGAGCCTCGTTCCATTCTTGGACACTCTTTATTGCCTCGTCATACTCAGTGGAATTCTTCGGCCTGTCCGGGTTGGTCCTTCTTGCATTCACTATCCATGGATGCTTCAAGAGCTTCTTGGCCGACACTCTTAGATTTGGATCTTTCTGAAAACACTGCATCAAGAAGTCCAGAACAGCAGGTGATGCGCCTTGCGGCAGGGGCGGATGATCGTCATTTACAATGCGAAACAGAGCAGGCATCGGCTGGAGGTTGTGATATGGCGGCTTTCCGTCGAGCAACTCGATTACTGTGCAACCCAGACTCCATATATCCGAAGCGGTCGTTGCGCCTGTCAACTCGATCACTTCGGGGGCCATCCAATAGGGGGTTCCGACGACGCTGGATTCATGTAGTCCTGTGGTGCGGCTTGCCACGCCAAAATCTGCAAGTTTGACCAGTCCTTGCTTGGTGGTGAGGATGTTAGCGCCCTTGATATCGCGGTGTATGACGCCCTGGTCGTGGAGATAGACCAAACCCTGGAGCACTTGGGACATATAGAGAGCCACCAGATTCTCGGGAAATCGACCAAAGTTCTTGGAGATCGAATGGAGGGATCCATTCTCGCAATATTCGAGTATAATGTTGAGGGTTTCGGGCGTCTTGACGAATCCGTTGTATTTGACAATATTGGGGTGATCAAGATTCTTCAAGAGGTCAATTTCCAGCATAATGACCCTCAGTTCACTTTTGGGCAAATCTGCAAGCTTGATCTGCTTGACAGCCACCGTCTCTCCCGTGCCCCAATTCAACGCCCGGTAAACAGAACCAAAGGCACCTTTACCCAGGCAATCACCCAGTTGGTAGTCTTTCAGCTCGGCCACATCCTGCGCCTTGGTCTTCTCTTTCTCCTCTCTCTTGGACGGACTGGAAGGAGGCTTGGGCGTTCTGGTGACCTTGAGACCCAAGCCATCGACTGCTCTAGTAGTAGGGACATCTTCCGGGGGTTCGGCGGTGCGAGCAGGCATCTTGATATCGAAGAGAATAAGAAAGGGAGGGAGAAGCTAAAAGGGCAAGGCGGAATCGTTCTCTCGCATTGTCCGTTGGTCCAACTGCAGTCTGGTTGGTGAGAGTCAGAGTGATTGGTAGCTGGTACAGCGGCCAACGCAGGATGCCGGGCGATGGTTTGGGACTGCACCGTGTGGCTGCGGCATCAAGGGTGGGTGTTGTGAATGCCGCTGACTCGTTCTGCGCAGTAGCGGTCTGTTGATGGCTCTGTCACGCAGGAAATGATCGTGGACAGTCTCCAAAATGGCATGAAACGAAGACATTGAACATCAGACAAAACAGGTCCATCAATGCGGAAGGCACGAGATTGGACTGGCTTGACTGGGCTGCCAGATGAGGTCGGCTGCTGTTTGGCCTACCAACCTACTAGCTCTCGCTTGCAGTTGTGTGTTGCAGGTTGCAGGTTGCAGGCTGCAGGGCGATCTGCGGCCGCTAACTACCCTATCCAGGCCTATCGTACCGAGACCTCCACTCTACCGTCAGGGACGCGTCAATTGTCATCGCAGCACGCGACTTTCCTCCCAAGGTACCCGCCTCGTCTATCTAGGTACAGAATTGCACACTCTCTCAGTGGTGGTCACTACTGCTTGATACGAGTCTGTTCTGCAGTCATCTCTGACCGCTGATCTGATGGTCATTGCTTGAGTGGGTTGTCTACTGCTACATGATCGATTGAGGAGAGAAGATCCCCTCCTACTGCTTCACTAACAAGTCACAGATCGCCATGTGGCGTCAACTGCCAGCACACACAGACGCCCGTCCACAACTGTCAAGGCGAGCAAGACATTCCTCCTGATCCAAACAGTCGGTCCATGATGCTATATTTGTCCACAGCCGGATGTCTGACTTCACCTAGCCCAGCAGCCAGAATGCCCTGGGCTGCGTATCGAAGGGAATAACTCAGGACACAGATAACCCAGACGTAACCGACCGTCCTGGTTTTCCCTGCCCAGTGTCAAACCTATTTCCTGCACCTGATTAAAAGGGGAGGTAATCGCTTACATGTGTCCTTCAAGTCCTTCCTCGTGCCCAGGTATACGACAAGGTCTTCAAACATGATCGCAACAGGCTGGACCATGAAGAAATAGACTTGGCACCAGCCAAGGGAAGAATATGGGCAATTGAGGGCACCAGCATGATGAATAAGTGCCGACACAAAGAAAGCGTTGTATAGCTGCAGATACCGTGAGGCCAAAGTACCATTTTTGACTCTCAACAGGTGCAGTAAACACTTGTTTACACTCTCAAAGATCCGACGATGAAATTGATGCCTCAAGAGCTGATCAGACGAAATTAGTACTCCAGCATGGGGGAATCTACACACCAACAACACCCCCATATGTTCCTCACTGTATGACCCTTTTCGAAGAATGAGCCGAAGATTGGAGGCCACGATTGAGGCATATAAAGCCCAGACCCGACAGCGAACGCCGCTCCAAGGTAGTAGCTGAAGCCCAACGTAACGCCACTGTAGAAGGCAGAGCTCCATCCGAGGAGAATTTGTTGCCAGAGTGGGATGGTGAAGATGTCAGAGACAGTACCAGTCCGTGCTCCACAACCCGTCCAACGTATATACCATTGATGGACGTCCATATAGAGAAAGCAGTATGAGGCTCTGGCAATCTGCTCTAGGACGAATCGACTGCATCAGTTAGAGGGCGAATATACCCAGGTGTGGCTCTTCACCTGCGAGAAAGATGTTTTGGGACTTTGTCAACATTCTTGACGCGCCAATTCCAGCCAATTCCACGCATGGTTGTAAACAGGGACACGCTCCACTGGAATTTTTGCCAGACAGTCATCTTTTCTATATCGTCGGCAGTCTCGAACGTCCCATCTGACTTTTCTCGACAAAACGTCTGCTCGGCATTATGCAAGACCTCAAAGTCGATGCATCTGATCGAGATCAAGCAAATGTTGATGGCATTGAGATAGTCCTCTTCCGGCCTTCCGGCCGTGTGTATTCGCAGGTTCGCAAGAATGCACAAGATCGCCGACATGGATGTTATTTTGCGAAACTGTCCTGGTGAAAAACATAAGCTAGCAATGCCAATGACTCCTGCCCCGATCACACTTGGGCCGCCTGATTGAAAGGGACGATCTGGTGGAGGAAACCATTTTGGATCCATTGCTGAGCCACAAAAAGAAAGGGAGACGGAAGCAGAGTAAGAGCGAGGGCAGTGTGAATGGGAAGCATCTTTTGGGCTGAAGATATTACACAACCAAAAGGCTGATGACAACCAAGCTGTAAACGTACAGAATGCGAATACGAAACAACGGTTGGCACGACGCAGCCAGCCAGGCATGTATGTACGTAGTGGCGGCAAGGCCGTCATCAGTGTCTCTTGTTTGTCATCGAGAGTCGCGGGTGACGCAGGAGCGTTGTTGTCAACTACAATGGGAAACCCTTCTGGAAATGTACATGTTCAGGGAAAGGGAATATGAAACATAAGTCATTTGGTTGATAGGTACCTCGCACTATATATACCAAAGATGAAAGGCCGGGAGTTGAGCTTCTCAAACATAGCCGTGTGCCAAGCCCTCCAGACACAGACCTGGCAAACTGATGCTGATGATGCCTTTGATGCCGAAGTAGGCTTAGCAAGCCTAGACAATCGCAGGCACCTCTGGCGACTCTCCCCAGCCACACCCGCAGAACCCGCTATGGGATTGCGTTGCCTCGTCAAGTCTGCCTCACTAATTATTATTCACTGGCAGCCAGCAGCCACCACAACTAGCCGGTCTCCGCCCATCCCTTTCTCCCACCATCCCCCCCCCCCCAGATACTCGCTCACTGGCTCGCCCAAGGCGTTCGTTCATTTCTATTCTCTCTTCCATCACCACCAAGGATAACTGGGTGCTCACAAAACAATCCGTCCCAAACCCACCCTACCACTTGTCTATCTCAACCAACTCTCCACTCTTTTCCATTGTTTATCGCATCTCGTTCCTTTGTCGTTGTTCGTTCCGACTCTCCTCTCTCATCATTGACGTTAATTTACCTGTACAATTGCGATTCATCTGTTGCGACAACTATGGGTTTACCGTGAGTTTGCCTCAATTTTTTCCCACCCCCACCCCCGTTTGAGATCTAGCTGCGCTCCCGCGCACGGTATCAACACCATTGTTTTCCTATATCCATCGCCGGCAAGCTCATTTGCTAATCAATATGCTTCCAGTATGTTCCAAGATCCTGACGAGATTGCTGCAGAGCAACCTGCTGCAAAACTCGATCAGCTTGCAGCCGCAGGACGATCCAGCATCCGGCGCGAGTCCACCGTGCGGCCAGGTCGAATTGCCGCTAGTCGTCGCGCTGCACTTGAAAGAGTACGAGAAGAAATAGGAGAACGCCGTCGTCGGCGTCGTGAGTTTGCCGAGGTAGCGCAACACTACTCTGCTCAAGCGGCTCAGCGCGAGCGCGAGCAGCTCCAGGCTGCTCAAGAATTACGCGCTGATGCTGAAGTCGAGGCCGAGGCCGTCGAGGCGCAGCGCGTACGATTTGCCAGACTGAGGCAGCGTATGCAAATGAGGGATCTAGAACGAATGCTTGCCAGCAGAGCCAACCCTGAATCAGAACCGCGGAGTGACACGGACGTGGCGCCCGTGAGCCGAACACGCGTCGAATCCGGCGGAACACCACTAGACGACATCGCTTCGGATTTCATCTTCGGCGCCCTTGTGTCCGAGTCTCAAGAGACCCCTACTCAACCGCTTCCACCTCCATTAAGAGAGTCGGGCCTGAGATTCGAACTGGGCGTGGTGTCCCAACCCGAGTCAGAACCTTCTTGGTATAATATACCTTCGAACGCTCGCCCTACGAGGGTTGTCAGCCCGTCCGGGAGCAGACGACCACTCTGGTCATATTCAGTTCACCGACCAACGTTCGCGGGCCTCGAAGACGAGGAGAACGAAAACGGATACCGCGCTACTTCACAGCCTCGGGCGGCCGTGCCAGCCGTCGGAGAGATTGTATTGCCCACTCTTGCGACAGGACGCCAACGGTCTACGTTTCCACATTCCCAAGACTCCGATCACATCTCGCACCGCCCACAAGGGGAGTCGACATCAAGACTTGACGGACTTGGAGACCGCTTGCGTAGTCCGAGTCCGATTTCTGACGACCCGGTGGAAGAGAACTGGGGAAATCTCTTGGACACAATGGAAACGGGCCGTTCAAGTACGGCGACTTCCTTTCTATCATCGCGGTCGAATTCCAGGAGTGGCTCTCACCAATCGTCTCAGGCCACAACTGCTACGACTAGCTTTGGTGAAATAGGCGGGGATGATTCATGCGACTTGGATCTCCCCTCGGGCATCACTGAAGAGGACGTCCGGGAAATACGCGCACGACATGGAAGACTACGGAGGAACCCATCTACACGTCTCGGAGTGCCTGAAACACGGAACAGTCTCCTTTCCGACTCATCGAACCAGCACGATTCTTCAAGGATGAGTGACAGGGTTGTCGAATTGGAAGTGCTCGGATTTATTCTCAATCGGATGCAGAGACGAGAAGAGATACCGGATGAGTTGTGGGCTGCCGTTGGTCTGTCACCAGATATTGTGAGAGGCTCTTCGTTTGATCTGGCTAGACACTATGCTTGAAAGTCGACTGGATACAGAGCGCCCACCCACGGACACCTCGCTGCGGCTACACCTTCGATCAGACTATGATCCTGCTGATCTAACAAGACGAACAGAGCACGGCATGTGGAGGTTAGCCTCCTTACAATTAGAGTCAACGACCAGGCATCTGATCACCATCCTCGGGCACAACTCTTGCTGGGCAAAGCAGAGGGTTTCTCCATGCGGACACCATGATGCGAACCATGATGCGAACCATTGTTCTAATTTCCGGCTAACGCCTTGCCGCGTTACGATACGAAAAGTCAGCTTCAATGTTTCCTTTGGTCCTGTGCGTGTGAACCTGGAACAACTTGTTGAATGAATGAAATGGTACGGTATGGTACGGAAAAGAGAGCGGCTGAAGATTTGGGAAATGGATGAGTGGCAGTGTCAGATTTGGGCTTCTTAGGATGTTGACGATTGGGATTCAATGACATGGGACCAAAAAGAGACCTTACAGGGATATTATGCCATGGCTGGACCGGAGCATTTTGCTTTTTATCAATTTATGTATTTCTTGACAGAGGTCTTTTTGTGTTGGTCTATGCGCCTGCCATGACAGACGAAAAGCAAAGACGAGTATATCCTCGTTTGATTTCCACTATTCAGTTTTTATTCCTTTGTACTATGAGCGCTTTGGTCCAGTCACACAGTCTTCCTACACGGCAAGGGACCCTCGACACAAGTTAGACAGAAACACAGAAACGAGCCATGCATGCTGCAAACAGGCGCTGAAAAGAAAGTCCTCCATTGCCACTTCTTCCTCGTCGTGCCACACTAGATTGTTCAACCACCGTCCCTCACATCAAATATTTCACATGCCAACTCCATCTGCCGCGAGCATTGCAATACTGTCCATCCTAGTCATCCTCTCCCTCCTCCTCTCCGCCTCGTCCCTTTCCCTGTCTTCGTCGCCGTCTTCGTCCCCCTGTAATTGGCCGTCCACATCTCTAACCTCCTCGCTCCGCCAGGTCTCGTCCTCGATACTGGGCACAATCTCCTGGACGGGCAGTCTCTTCTCCAAGACCTCCTTGGCATTCCTCATGTCGCTTTTCTCCGTCCGGTCCAGGCTCTCCTCGAAGGAACTGGAAATGCCGGCAGCGAAGTTTCGTTTCGCGACCCGTTGCGTGGCCGTCGGGATATCCACGTCGACGAACCACGTCTCATCCATCAACTCGTGAGCGTCTCTCCACCCGGGCTCGTCCAGGGCCGTGTACAGACCTTCAAAGAGGACGATCCGTGCTGTCGGGGGAATGGCGATGTCATTCGCCACGGGATCCTTGACTGCGTGGTCGAAGCTGGGTGCGTAGATTGTCAACGTCTCTGGGCTGATTGGTTTACGCACTTTCTCGACCAATTTGAGGTAGCTCTGCGAATCGAACGTGAACGCCGCGCCACGGCGGAAAACGGCCTCTTCGGCATTTGGCATCTCGCTGAGCTGTTTGCGGGTCAAGTGGTAGCCATCGAGCGGCACAACAAAGGCGATGTCTGGCCCTGAGCGGCTCGGACTGTTGGGGAAGCGCTTGTTTTGATGGCTGTGGTGGGCTTTGTTAAGCCCCGCGCAGACGGATGCAGCGAGAGTGGTTTTGCCGCTGCCTGGAATGCCGGAGATGGCGATCAGGAGGCGCTGTGAGCCGTCGCATTGCTGAAACCTCTCTGAGATGCAGACATCAGCGGTAGGAAAGCAAGAACTAAGCAACTTGTACGGGCTCACCCCAGGTCTTATCAACCAGGCGCTGAACATGGGATTCCATTACCCGCGTTTAAGAATGAGACTTCTCCTCGTGTTCTGTTTGGGATGAGATTGAGTAGTCGAGGACGATCCTCGTATATACACTGTCCTGTTTCCTACCTGTCGACAGAGCTTGATAGACCTATATCATCGCAAAGTGCACAATCTTATCAATAGTCGCTCAGGTGCGTCAAGTGGATCACAACCGTCATATTTCACTGGCGAAACAAGGCCCGGTCCAAGGTCTCGGCCTTATCCAAGTGGCTGATAGACCTCGGGGGGGAAAAGGCAGGTCTTGGCCAACGTCTAGATAAGTCGTCCCGCGAGGGTAGAAGAAGGATTGCAATCTTGACCTTTGGTAAATGGGTTTTGTAAACACAAGCCGGAACGTCTGTCGAGAGGCTCTAGATTTCAAGTGACCGAAGATCAATGGTGGTTGGTATTGGGGGTTTAATAACGAAGGGACTTGGTGAGATTCGCGGAGCTGGAACCATATTACTCCGGATAAGGTCACGTGAATACCCGCCCCCGTTTGAGCCCCTGTCCAATCCAGCGAACCGCGCGTCGTCGCCATCCCCGGACTTGGTTCTCTGCACCAAGGGGGGCATCGCCATTTCTTTCTGCAGGGCCAAACAACTTGGA